TTTTCTCACTGTTTTTGCCATTTTCCAGGTATTTAAAGTATTCCATTCTTGCTCCCGGCGATGTGCTGTATCCACACTACTTGAAAGGCGTTGTTGCGTCAAAATCACGCATATTTGAAGGGTCGTAGAATGAGGAGGAAAATACATTTTTTAAAATGTACTTTTTTTTGGCATAGCGCATCCTGCAATGCGCTGATGTATATGTCTCAGACACAGTCGGTCCACATCCCACTTCCATCTCTTGGGAACCATTACCCTTGCAGTCCATCTGCTTTTGAGCGCAGTCTCGTCCCACTCATTTGACTGAACGCTGACAATGTAGCGCCATCCATAGAAAGTAACATTTGCCCTGGACCCGGGCACTAGAAGCCAACAACGACTTCACCTCTTTGTTCAGTAACTCACATGATGTACGACTGATACGCTAATTTCACCCATTTTTAACAGTATGATAATAAATAAACCAAAACACAGAGTATGCAAGAGGGAGCAACAAAAACAAAAAATAAGTGAATTGGAGAAGAGCAGGCGAGGAAAGCAAACCAACTGTCGGGGCTACAGAACTTCCGTCAAAAACCTCAATCAAAAACGAATAAGGCCTAAATCGATCAGATATCATAAACAAATGAAGGACCTGGGCTTCGAAAATTGGCGTTAACGCGGTGTAGAAATACGAATCAATAAAAGTAAAAAGTAGGGTCACTTCGCACCTCAGTTTGTGCGGGAACAGTCGTAGATTTTTCGAAAATAGTACTCTCGCTTAAACAACAAAGGCCTTTGAAAGGTCGTTCCAGCCATTTCGCATGTGAAGGCATCTCCTGTTGGATCCAACTGGTCACTGTATGCTTTACTCTAACAGCTGGTGGCTAAAATCGGCTAAGCCAATTAATGCGTAAATTGAATCTCTGGGTGACTAACCTTATTCCGTGTCATCCAAAAACCAGGGGCGGGGGAGTGAGGTGGGTTTTGCTTTCCCGCCCAGTTCTGAAATATTAATCTCAAAACATTTAAGTAGCCTTAGAAATTCGACAAAATAACACAAAATAATCATAGAAAGCTGCAGCTCCGTAACATCTTTCATACACATTCACAAAACAGCACAGTAATAATCTGCAGGGAAGCGACCTCGCGAGCTACCATCGGCATGAGATGTTATCCTCTGCTTCCGGAAAACCGATGCACGACACTTACGGCCTGCGATACAGAACCGATCCGGCTCAACTGCATCATCGGGCGTGGAGGACGAGATCCTCTCTCTTGCCAACACCACCGTATCCCGCCTCCTAACCTGCAAATTTCCCAGTAACCGTAGCACAACCATTTTAATAACTGCACTGCCACTAAACAGATAATTTGATTCGCCAAAATGTCAAAAAACTGCAAAAACACGTACACACTGTCGTTTATAAGAGATTTAGATAAAAGACTTGCAAGAATTTTCAGTGAGCAGCAGCTGAGGTAAAAAAAAAAAACTCTGTATTGGAGCAAGTAGTAATGTAAAGGGGCAAAGAAGTATAAACTTACTCTCTGTCTCCTATTCGTCTATTTTGATGGCATATCGATGAAAACTGTGCTACGAAGTCTTGTAGTTATGAATTATGTGCAAAACCTACGAAAACAAGGGTTTTTTAGCAGACTCAA